CAGGAGCGGATACGAGGACACAGCAGAGATGATGCCTGCAGCTAGTACCAGAGAGGTTGGCGACAGGTTTGCATGGACATTGGGAGATTTTTTTTTAGAATGCCATACATTTAATGTTGCTACATCGCCTGCCTACTTCAGTATGCTGCGGTCTGTAGGGTTGTATGGGAGAGGGTTGAAGGCACCTTCCATGTATGAGTTGCAACATGAATTTTAAAGGAGTTGCAGAACACAGAGCGGAGCATTGATGAGATTAAAAGACATGGATTGAGACTGTGTGACCATTATGTCAGATAGATGGTCCGACATGAAGAGACAGAGCTTGATTAACATCCTTGTCAACAATCCCTACGGCACGGTATTTTTACGATTAGTTGAAGCTTCAGATGAGGTGAAAAATGCTACATTCATTTTCAATTTACTTATGGGGTATGAGGAGATTGGGGAGCAATTGGTTGTCTAGGTAGTGCCTGATAATGCAGTGCATACAAAGCAGCTGGTCAGATTTGATGGAGAAGAGGACACACCTATATTGGACCACCTGCACAGCACATTGTATCGATCTCATTTTGGAGGATCTTGGTGACTTACCTCAACACAAGAGTGCTCTTTCTACGAGCGAAGAAGAATTACAAGTTTATCTACAATCACTCATGGGTCTTAAGCTTGGATGAGAAAGTATTCAAAGAAGAAATCATTCGCCCTGCAACCACTAGGTATTGTTCTTAACTTTGTGCACTGCAAATCATTATTGCAATTTGTACTGTATGTTTTTAGTTCTTACATTTGTGCACTGTAAATCTATAGTTTTGTCACATCCTATTTGACACTGCAGACCTGATGGAAGTGAGACAACCTTTGGAAGCAATGTTTACATCAACTAAATGGCTTAACTCTTTGGGGGAAGAAAAGTGAGGGAAGAAAATAAAAGAAAGATTATTCTGAATGATACATTTTGGGCTACTATGACCATGCCATATTGAGCACGAGACCCTTAGTGCAAGTACTACGCTTAGTGGATGCATAGAAGAAACCAGCTATGGTTTATTTAAAATGCTATGGATGAGGCCAAGGAGTTGATTGCACACACTTAGGAGAGATGAGGCAAGTTATAGGGAGATTTGGGATATCATTGATGGCTCGGGGAGGTGCAGTTACACCGTCATCTACATTACAGCGGCATATTATCTCAATCATCAATTTCAATATTCAGAGAAAAATCTTCAAACCCGGAGGTGAAGCTTGATCTGTATCATTGTATGGAAAGACTAATACCGTAGCAGGCAGATAGGGAGCTTGCAGATTTACAAACTTGTTCTATTCCGGAATAAATAGTTTTTGGTCTGAATGCAGCAAAAGCAACCATTGCCAAACGGTGTCCATGATATATATTTTGGTAAATGCAAGACACTATTCAGTTCTGATTAATTTTTTCTTCTTGAAAACAGTTGAATGGGGATCCAATTTGGTGATTCCACCCCTGAGTAACAGAGTTTTGATGTAAGAGTGTTGGCCTCACTTGTTCTTCTTCTGGGTGTGAGAAACTGGAGTACATATAGTCAAGTGCAAATAAAGAAAAGAAATCGGCTATCAACACTCTGAATGAACTACCTCGTATATATTGCACAATAAGAGTTAAGAGAAATGAGTTGAGGAATAAGGGTTAAGGTGATGAGGACCCGTTGGTGTGTGATATGTGTCATCTGATAATGAGTGGTCATAGATGATGAGACAAATTTGCCATTATCAGACTTACACCTAGAAGATCAAGTGTGGATTCTTGAGGGGCGAAGCAATCAGTGACACTCACTAGACCACACACACACATCCCTACTCTACAGCACAACAATCAAGTAAAGGTATTCCACACTTTTATATGCTATGCATTATATTTATATCATGAGCAATAACAATAATGATCTTTTCTATTGAACAGAAAGAGAAAAGTGAGTCATATTGAAGATGATGATGATTACATTCATAGATCAATTGGAGAAGAAGATTCCCTTGAAAACCCATTTATGATGATATGATTGCATTTATATGTTTTTGTACTTTGGAGTTTGTAAACTAATATTTTGTGATTTTGTACTTTGGACATGATTTATATGCATCTACTTTCTTACTTTCCATTATTTTCATATATCATTTAGATGTTTTATTGTAAGATATAATATTGCTATTATTTCCTGCTAAAACCCTTAATTTTCATTTACGCAATTCTGTGTCCGTGAGGCTTACGCCTCAGACCGCCTGAGCTTAATTACGCAATTTTAAACCTTGAGCATCTCTATGTTTTTTTTTTTTAAATGGCTTATTACCTTTGGATTATTAAATGGATCATTAAAAAAATTGATAGCATTAGAAGGAACTTTTTCTAAAAAAGGTTGAGTCTAATACTGCTCTTTAAATCATCAATTAGAAGAATTTATTTTAAAAAAAGATAAAAGAAGCCTTGTATCAAAGAACCTTAAAGTGTGAATTTCTCTTCTTCGGTGAATTGATTCGCAAGGCTTGACAAAGTAAAAACTAACAATAATTCTTTATGTTAGCTTTATTATCATGAAAAGTATTTTAATAACTCACCCCATTGAACTTTCTTGACTAGTAATGCATCACATCAATCCAATTTCATTAAAGAAGGTTTATAAATCTTTTCATGCCTTTCAACAAAATATATCTTAGAAATTTTATGAAAATGAAAAAAAAAAATTTTTGAAGGATAAAATTGACCTTGATTGCCCAACTTGACTATCTAACTCAAAGATCTGTATTGTTTTTCCTATGATTTTAACGATTCAATTGCTTATTTATATTTAGTGGTAATGGTTGGCATTAGCTTAGGAGAAGTGTCGCTCCTTTTCATTTAAGTGATTGTAAGAAGCTTTTTTACCTTACATCAATCAATTCAACTGACCTCAAAGAATGACACTCCATATTGACTTTCAACGTCTGTTAGTATATTGTCAGTCAGTCGTTTTACTTATCCTGTTTTTTTTTTTTTTTTTTTTCTCTGTGAGGGGGAGGGGGGGGGGGGGGGGGGGGTGCCTGTTCTTACACACTCTTGCCCTTGGATATGGAAATATATTGGTCCTCTCAAAGTAAGATTCTTATTTGGTCTCTTTATATAAGGAAAATCCCCAGTAAAATCTCTTTCAATCAAAGGGAATGTCACCTCTACTTTCTGATAGTCGTCACTAACAAATTGGAAAAAAGACTTGCATATTTTTTTTGGTTGTACGTCGTCAATATCAAATATTTGGAAGTGACACTATAATCAATTTAATATACCCTTGCCCACTATTGACTTGGATCTAGCTTTTATTTCCTGGATCGAAAAAACTTCCAAGATATTTGGGATGCCTTCTTTTGCTTTTCCAATGAGTAGAACTAGTGCAAAAAGAAAGAAAGATGATTTATAAACAATAAAAATGAAAAGTCCCTCAAGATCAATATTATCAATCTTGATTACTTCTAGATCAATAACATCAATGATGAGAAGTTGATCAAAATCAACACGCTGCTCCCTACAAATAGCATGTCTCTTTAGGCTTTGCAAATTACATGTAAACTTTGTTGTTAATCAACGATAATGGTTTGCACAACTATTTAACAAAAAGAACTCTAGCTTATGCAAATCTTTTTGCACAATTTCTAATCATGCTATCTGATCTATCATTTTCCTTATTGTTTTCACAGTAATTTTATATAGAAATCATAAACCTAATCATATGAGGATAAAAAAGCCACATGACCAGTCTATATATAACTTTTTATTTTGAAAAAGATAAAATCAATGCAACAAATGTTTATATGTACCTGCACATGTGTAACAAATATAATCTAAATGATTACATGTGAGGTATTCCACATTTTTATTCTACTTTCATCTTACAACAATAATAGAGATGATGATACATAAATTAAAGCAAAGCACAGCACAACTTCAAAGAAAAATAAAAATGACAACCAATCATTGTTGAAAATCACAAATTATATATATTAACTTAATTAAAGTAGTTTATGGATCATTAAATCATTAAAATTTTAGGAAAAGCCAAATTAGGTTTGAACAATGCAACGGACAACTAGGGGGTGTCAATATTTAACCCGACCAAAAACCTGACCCGAAAAAATTTGAGTTCAGATTTCTGACCCATTTTTAAAATCGGGTATGCTACGGGTGACCCGAAAACCCGAAGTTGACTAGGATCCCGCCCACAACGCGTCACTCTCGCATCCTGCACCAGCGCACCTGCGGCCAACCTCGCCCGCGCTTGACCACACGTCCCACACCCTGCCTCGCCCACGCACGATACCAGCCCTCGCATGTGCACCCGGCCAGCCTCGCCCGCGCTAAACTCAATATACCACACCCGCGCTCTGCCACACCCATGCTCGACCCCATGCCCTGCAACCCGCGCTCACTCACCTACTCTGCGCCAAGGTCAGTGTGTCGGGTCTAGTCGACTAGAGTTTGGGGCGAATCGGGTTTGGTTTCGGATTTTTGACCCGTTTCCAGAATTTGGTCGGGTTCAGATAGGGTCAAATAATAACGGGTCATTTTTGGGTTGGATCCGAACCCGACCCAAAAACTCATTT